GGATGAACATATTGGGTTACAAATTTCTGCTGAGGGAATGTTCAAAGTACAAAATGCTTCTCGTGCCACAAGGTGCTGAGCCTGGACATACTTACGTATATTCGATACAATTGTGAAATGTTAATTTAGAATAAGGCTGAATCAGCAAATAGAAAAATAGTTGTGAGGTGATTATTTTTTTTATTGAAATGCTTTGCTTGAGAGACCACGTTGTCTATTAAAAAAGAAAATTAAACAAGAATATGCCTATATGTATATTAACTTGTTCATTAATAAATGGCTAAAGCAATAAATTTATACTTTACTTGAGTAATTTAATTGCAGTAAAGAGGAAACTAGAACACTGATTATATTTATCCATAAAAGCATTTTATCTTGACTTAAATTTTCGATGTTCTAAAAGTTTTTATCTTCTCGCGTATAATTTCTCGTATTATATACCCACATTTATCAAAAATATGAAATATACAACAAAAGCACTTTGATTGTCGTTTTTAATGAAATTCTCTATTATATTCTTTTTTTTTTGAGTTTAAGATTAATTGCTGCGGTTTGCTCGTATATCTATAACTGGAGATTTAAAATCTTTGCAACTGACAGGAGGAAGAGAGAGAAAATTATGAATCATAAATTACATTGTACAATTTATCGGATTGTAATGTTATATGTATACTTTAATGATATTATAAAGTATATTCATAAAGTATTGTCTTACTTATAAAATAATCAAATTAAACCTGTTTGATTGCGATGATTTAATTGATTTAATTGATCAGAGGAATGTATTGATAACGTTAATATTTCGAATAAATGTATTTATGTACATATTTTATAATAATTAAACATTACATGCAAAATTATTTGAATTCATTCTTAGCCAAATTAATTGTTATTTATTTTTAAACGAATAAACTTTTTTTCAAATAAGAATTACTCCAATAAGCCAAAAATTAATTATATAAATTACTCGAGCTTCTTTTTGTTACATTAGCCAGTCTAATTCTTCACGTCTTTAATGACAAAAGGATTTCGCGCGGGAAAACGCGTCTCACATCCATTCGCTATGTTATTTCGCGCACGACTTTACTCTCAAGTGAGCAGCGCAAGTGTGCATTACACATACGCGTATAATCGTGCGTAAGATTACGATGTTCCCTCCATCGTCGGCGGCAGCTTCACTTACGGGATCGCGAAGTGAATCCTGAGGCGCGTGACGAATCGCTCGACACCGCGTCATCGCGACGTATCACGAGGCGTGGAACACCGGCATACACAGTACGCACTCTCTCTTACACACCGTGATATTTATTGTCTCAAACGGAAATAAAAATAATGCGAGTGTATATACGGCATCGGCCGCCTGTGACATCAGCCCCTCAATCAATCCGTTTTGCATGATGATGCATGAAGCGCATTCGGCGAACATCGCAAGAGGACACTTATCTGGGTGTGGACGCGACGAACGTTGCCCATATAAATCCTTTCGCCAGCACCGTAGAATCTCGATTATCTGAACGGTTTAACGGTACGTTCGATCCTTCGCATTACGCTCACTTAAATATTTAATTCTGACCGTATGTAGAGGAAAGTTGCACACATTATATTATAAAAGAGGATTACCTATTTTTTGTTCATGATTTTTTTTGTTTTTTGTAATAATGACATATAATACATAAGATGATCTCAAAATTAATGAATCGAAATATCATATTGCACAAAAAGTTTTCGAAAAAAATAACTTAAAAAAAGTGTTTGTCATATTTTTGTTTCGAATATAGTAGTTTTGGGATATAAACTGTAAAACTGACTAATTACAGATTACGGTTAAACGGCTGTCGATTTGGACCGTTTAACCATAATTATAATTTGTCAGTTTTGAACCTTTAGATTTAAAAAATTTTTTGAGACAAAAAGCAGCAAATAATTTTTTAACTTTTATTTTGAAAACTTTTATTTTTCTTTCTATGGTATTTTGATCCACGAATTTTTGTAAATAATTATTTGCGTTAAAATATAATTTGAAAAAAGTTGATCATTTAATAAACATTATCATTGTTCGCCGTCAATTTGATTAAAATAAAGATATAATGTAAATCTTGCGATAGTTGTTCTCGCATGTATTTCTCTGCCTAGAACTCGTATTAATGAAATGAATGCGCATCTTTTAAGCGAACTATTCCAGATCGCAATCGATTTCTAACAAGGCTATCGATAATTCTATGCAAATATTGCAATGCGAAGGTCATATTTTATTTTCTTTCTTGCAACTAGTTTCGATTCGCGATTAAATGATATATGTTTGTGAATTTGAAAATCAATTAAATTAATCGTAAAGTAATTAAACTAATTAACTGAAATGACGTCATTAGGTAATCTAGAATTAAGTTGATTTTATAAACTGATAATTAAAAAATTTATTATATTACAATATGTTTATCAGCTGACGTCAATGTATATATTATACATATACTATATTAATATTTATGTGTTTACAGATTAATTAATATATATTGCTTAATCTGTACTATCGAAAATATAAATATATTTTTAAAAAATTATCAACTTTTTGACATTTTAAAAAAGGAAGAGTTATATACGAAATTAAACAATGACCATCAACAATAATAAATTTAATTTTGTTGATTATAACAAACGATTATGATTAATTTTAGAATAGGAAGAGTTACAAACGAAATTAAACAATAACCGTCAACAATAATATATTTAATCCTTAATTATAACAAACGATTATGATTAATTTTAGAAAATAAAAAATACATTTGTTCCAATTTATACAATTATCTTTATTAATTCTTATAATGTAATTTCTTTTTTGCAGATTGATCGAATTTAAGCGGTAAACCTTACTATACAATCCTGCTATTTAAACGCGACCGGTAAATTTTCTTGCGGGCAAACCACTTTAGTACATTACTGTAATCGAGTACGAGTCGAGACAATAAATTCGCATAAATATAAATGATGATTATGGGTCTACTTACGATATTGTGCGTCGCTTAGATCCGCGTACATCATACTAAGTATATCAAGAAAATTGCATGTTTTCTTTCGATTATATATTGTCACGAACTGAAACAAATTTATGTCAATCTCGGAGTATTGCAATTTATACTTTTTTATTACATTATATAATTATATAATATTAATGCACTCAGTAAAGAAATTATCTGTTATTACAGTTATTTCTAATAATCCCGGCACTTTTACAAAATGAGTCTATGAAGATAACGCTGAGAGATTCTCAACAATGATATATCGTTATAGTTGCGGATATCCTGATATATCCCTACATGCGTTTACCATTGCAATAACTGCGCCCTTGTCTTTTTACGATATATCGCGGTGGATCTCGCAGAGATTTGCTGAGAGAAAGACGAGTAGGCACAAAGATCCCATGCAAATTGTCAGTGTGAAAAACTTGAAACACCATGAACGTAACTCGCAGAGTTCGAAATATAACGCTTCTGCGATAAAATAGTATCCGACCGATTCGTGCGTTCAATGCTTTTAATAAATTCGTATCACAGAATACGATTCCATTTGTTGTATACGATCGCTAGTCCGTATCTCGCACATTTTAATGTATTTATAAACTTGTGTATTAGATTAATGAAATTTCCATTATTGGTAATGTTTTTATTATTCTATCGGAAAATTGTTTTTTTTTTTTTAGTTTTTCTTGTAATAAGAAGAATGAAAAATAAGAGGACATTTTTCTTTGAATTTTAATTTATTATAAGTTTTATATTGTATTGAAATTTTTGTTTCAACAATTTATTTCAAAAAGTGTAACTGTTTTTAATTAATATGTTACGTATTAAGAAATAAGCATAATAAACACAGATATCAAACGTTTATGCTACAATTCATAGTTGGTGTGCAAGCTGTGTTTTATTTAGATTATAAATATTTATTTTCATTAAAATGATAGATAGCGCATCTCAATGAGACATTTTCGGCCGCGCAAAGTGTTTCTAGATCACGTTCGACTTTGGTTACCGTTTTGCAGCTATGTTTAGATCACGTTCAGCTGGCGACGATAAACTAGGTCGGATTAGCGCATTTCCTTGTGCGAGTTCTTTAGTTTATCAAAAAAAGACTGTTGTCTTTTCTTTTCTCATGCATTTCATAATTTCCTTTAGGATTTATTATCCTTTTGCCATGCGTCAAACATGAAAATATTATAATTATGAATATTTTATAAAATTTTTATGTAATAATATCATATCTATTTGATATTTGTTGCATATTATATTGCAACAGGCGACGCGTATTTATTATTTATTGAACTGAGAAATCTGCAATTTAATTATAACATATTGTAATCTTTTATTACATCTTGAATATAAATATCATATCCAATTAATTAAAATCCATTATTTACTGATAATATTTATTTAGATCAAGTATTGAAAATTATATGTTTGTATGTATGATAATCTGAATATCAAAGCTATAAAGTTACATGACAAATTTACATGACATTATACTGTAGCGTGATAATCCAAATTGGTTGCTAAATTCATCACGATTAGTGTGACATCAATAACAAATATGATAATAATAATAATTAATGCTATTTCTATGATAAAGGCAACTCGAAAATATTTTATTTTACCTTCATATTTTTGTAAATTATCTCAGCAAAGTAAATTTCACTGTCTAGTTATTCAAAGAGTCGGGTATCTTTCGCACACAAGTAATGAGTTGTCCGAATAACTTGAATGCTTGTAACCGGATTTCGCAGATAAACGGATTTTCCGCATACATAGCAATTCATTGCGTCGCATTACGCACGTTTCATCTCACGGTGATTAAATTACATTTGCATTACCTTGACATCAACCGTTACATGCTGGCTCTTCAAAATTATACACAAAATTGAAGCAGTTAAGCAATCAAAGCGATCATTCCAATAAATTATCAATGGGATTATTTTATTTGTTGTATAAATAACGTATCTCTTTAATTTTCTTCAGATGGGGCGATTACTCATGTGGATGCACTTCTCGCTGTTAATCGTGCTATTAGCATCGGTGCAGAAAACTACAGCATGCAGCTGTGCACAGGCCCATCCTCAAACCAAGTTTTGTGAATCAGATTTTGGTAATTTCACGGTCACTAATATGTTCCAGTTCTTGATATCATATATAATATATTACATAGCGCAAAAAATATAAATTGAAATTTTAATAAATATTTCAATTCTAATTTTATTCAAATATTACATTATTTTTTAACGAATTGTATTAATATCTTATTTTTGTCTATATATAATAATTTTAATGACTGGAATATTAAATATTCAACTTTGTGTAATACTTTATAATGTATTTTATAACCTTTTTAACTTAATAACTTTATAATATGTTTTATAATTTTCTATAATAATTGTATAAGTTTTACGTATCTTAGATATACTGATATATGGCCAATGTATTACAATTTTCTATAAAATCATGCTACTATTACGCGTTAAATAACAGCGAAAATCACTTTCCAATCTTTGTAAAAGTCTTTGGCCACAGTTAATGACGTTCTTCTGTCACAGTCGTCGTGGTGAGGGTGAAAAAGGTTCTCCCCGTCAACGACTATGAGATCGCTTACAAGGTCAAGATAAACAGGGTGTTCAAGGTGCGTATTATTGTGCTGGCGAAACGTTACCGCGCGTAGAAAGACGTTCGTCGTGTTCATCGCGAAATGCAATCTATGCTTAACCTTACGCCTCTGCTTCTTCCTCCCGCAGTCGAACCCAAATGCCGACATGGCACTGATGCAGAACCTTTTACGGACACCATCCACGGACTCGATGTGCGGAGTGACACTGAACGTCGGCGACACGTACGTTCTAAACGGAAGAATCGTCTCGGGAAAAGCACTCATATCGAACTGCGGACTCTCGATAAGATGGGCCGAAACGACTACTAGGCAACGCAAGGGATTGAGACAGCTCTATCAACAGGGTTGTGTGTGTGATGTAAGTGGATTATATCTTATCTGTCGTCACTTCAAATGTATTCCTTCGATTATTAATTTCTTAATATTTTGAAGAATATACTAGTATAAAAATTTTAATCAGAGGATATCACAAGATATTCTGTCTAACGTCTGTTAGATATTGAAGGAACAATAATCCAATTTCTTGAGTTAAATAATATTTTGTTTTGTTTTAACTTTCGTATATGTCAAAATGCAAATCAATCTATTTCTGTGATTAAATTGCTTAGCTTGTCAAAGCAAACAATGTCCATGAACAAAAGCATGTTAACATATGCTCTTAATAAGTAATTAACTTAATTTTAGTGTTTAGTACATTTAATTATTTAACACCATTGTTTTAATTAATGCCTATGATATATTGAATATGAACTTATAGAATCTGAATAGGAACCTATAAAAATCATAGGAAAATATATACGTATTGAGTAGGAGTAGAAATTGCAGTGGCAACTAATAAATAATCTAAATAGAAATAATTAAAAATAATTCAACTGGATATAATTTGAAGTTATGAATTTAACAGTTTAAATGAATTTAACAATGTTTTAGAATTTTATTACTGATGAGGATTATCGTAATAATTAATAATATTGCTTTTCTCACGATATATTACGTTGTTTGATTATAGCCATAACTAGAATCAAATTTATCGTACATTTGGAAATTAGAGAGAATAGAATTTTTAATAAATACATCGAAGTACGAATTCAGTGTACATTGAACAGGAACTTATAAATCATACGCAAAATCAAATATTTTTTCAACTGATTCCGCGAAACCAATGCAACTCGCTGCGTGAAAGATTTAAGGCAATGAATCACATACGCTGTAAATCTCGGTCGATTTTATACAGTCGAGAATGCTTCTCAAAAATGGAGTGTCCTAAAAATACGCGACCAAAGAACTGCGCAGATATTTGTGCATTTGTTCAATCACTGCTGATTTATGCGTGACGCGAGTTTACGCGGCTAAGAATACGAGATCGTAAGGAAGAGCGCGGAAAAAAAATGGCCTGGTTTTTGTATCGCAGATTCTGTACACACACTGGAGGCGCAAGGGTGCCGTGCTAGAGTCCAGCGGCGGAAAAAATTGTCTGTGGGAAAGTACACCAGGCCCTCAGGATTGCCAAGAAAGATATGGCGTATGCATGGCGTCATTCAGCGGCTGCTCCTGGGTTCCCTCAGTCCCGTACAAGAATTGTATTAAGGAGTATCAGCGTAAACGCGAGCAGCAAAGGTCGCGAGAACCTTAGTTAGGCACTTTTGTGTTCCACTCGTGTCCTCGTGCGATGGGAAGCGACAGAATTTTTCGTTCGTAAAATGATGCGACGTGTCTGCCAGACAATTTGATGACGGACGCGCCGCATAATCAAATGAAAAACGATGAAATATAGCGATGTGGTATGGCGGTAGTTTAATGGAAACCTGCATGTTTGCAGCGCGTATAAATGCAAGAGACCTGAACTTCTGCTATGTATTATTCGGAATAATTAAGTAATATGATAGTTTATTAATGAATTACCGCATACGTAGATGCGTGAGGCAAAAGAGAATCCCCATACTTTAATAATAAATAGTTTCATTAATCGTTAAAAGCAATAATATTCTGCTTTGTAAATTGCCTTTATATTTTTAGTAGTGTTTCGAATAAAATCGGATTTATCTAAAAATGGCAATGCGTTAGGTTTTTGAAACTGAAAAGTAGGACAGGTGAGCTTTACTTGTGACAGATGCAACTGTATGTATGTTTGTTAACGATGTCATTACTTTTTGAGCTAATTTTTATATAGATTTCGATAGTGGACAGAAACAATTGTATTGAAAAACCGATATTATACAGTTTTAAGAATCGTCTATCGTCTGTTAAATTATTCGTGACTTAGATTCGATATCGTAGTAACAGCATTGGCTAATTTTATCCTATAGTTTACAATGGCAGTTTAACTCGTTTAACACATTGTGGCTATATCACAAACAGAAGAAGTATTAGTTAATTATTGGTTGATCTAACCGACGTGTGGTGGAATCGACCCTTAATTATTCAATTATTATTAACGAGGAGTAAGTTTGCATCGCTCAGATATTTTGAAACGCGTGGATATATTATATGGATTTCATCGCTGAAATATATATGAGCGACTACTTTCACGATTATTCTCTCACTCTTAACGAGTTGTATATATATATATTATGTATTGTTTATGTATATTATGTATCATTAAATTATTCCAATTATCGTTGTATGTAGTCTTAGATAGTAAGTATTTAGTCGTTAAAAGTTCACTCGTACTTTATTATACTTCATAATATGTTATGCGCATTTTAAGTTTAAATTAAATCATAATCTATGTATACATTTGTTATTTACATTCATTATTATTCATAGTTCAGAAATTATTTAATCTGATGAAAACATTGAATATGCGAATCTATAATCTTATAAATATATGTAGAAGGTTTTAATGTCGTAAAAATACATTTATTGTTTTTACTTTACTAATAATATATTGTTTACTAATAATATATTGTTCTATATATCTATAAATATATAGTTTCATTAACGTTAAGTAAAAGCAATTTATGTAGATCGAAATTCAGAATATAAAATACAAAGAATGCTAAAGATTTCTATGTATGTGTACTTTCGAATGAAAAAATATCTATTTTTTACATATAAACGTTTTATTTAGTTTAGCTCTTAATTGTGGTATTTTTGTAAGTGTTATGTGACATGTAGAATAAAAATAAATGAAAACAATTGTTCTTATATGCATGTCCTCATTATAATACATCATATATCATTCTAATGATGATTTAAAAATTTCTTGTTTTTTAAACATGAAAAAATGAAAATTTTAAATATGTTAATTGACTTCACTTACCATTTCGCGATGATTGGGATAATAACTCTGTTCAATCAGGGGGAAGTTGTCTTTACCTAAACGGCGCTGTAGTCCCAGCAGGTGAGCAAATACCCAAGGTTTGTCCTATTTCATAGAATACGATAGCAATTACTGAAAGGTTCACTTATATGTGCATATATGTAAGAAAGATATATATATATATATATATAAAACACAAAATCGATACATCACATGTGAAGAGCCTCATACAACATATATATTTACGCATACAACATGTATATTAAAATTTTTATCATCCTATTTAATATATATAAAATTAATTAATATGTATATCAAAACATTATTTTATTTTTATTAGTATTAAAAATTTTTTTAATTTAACCTGTAAAAAAAAAAAATATATTAACGTATATTTGTTAAAGATTTTTACTTATTTGTAGATGACTGAAATTATAATATAATATTCTTAATAAGCTTTATTTTCTTTATTATGTTTTGTAAATAATAATTAGAGAGTTTATAAAAACGATAATTCTATCGTAATAATACATTACCTGAAAGTTGTAAATTGCTGTGAGATTATTAACGCTAGGTACACCGCCATACATCAGACCAAGAAGAAGATTCTTATAATCTTCTCCAGCATCTCGTAGATTTTGACGTATCAATACGAAATCAGGTTTGAACGATCTGACAACAAATAATAATAAGTGCTGTATCCGTTGCTTGATATTGGTTTAATATTTTAAATAATAAGTTTACTTCTGTCTCATTACGTTATTATATTTAACGTTCTATTTAAAATAATTTTTTTAAAAGTTTTTTATACATTATGTACAATATTAACGTTTTAAATTTTTTAAATTATTATTTTAATTTATTTCTGAATAATTTAATTTCGTATTGTTTAGGAGAAACGCAGAGTAATATTATACTGTTAAAGTAATATTAAATTATAAAAGTTACGTTAAACTATTTAAATCATGCATTTTAGTTTAACGCAGAGGATCAATAAAATGGGATGCAGAAACTATTCTCAAAAAAGTTCCATGCTCCAATTTCATCTTACCGAATAACTTTGGTCCCGTTACGATAGACAGCCATGGACACTACGGTGCCCGCCTCGCTTGCCGTCAGGGACAGTTCTCGAAATTCCGCCTGCTCCACACGAATTTCATAATCACCATGCAATCTGCGTCCCCGGAAGTATTTGCTCCAGTCGGTATTCTGGTCATCGATCACCAGCAAAGTAAAGCATCGGTCCTTGCTGTATGACGAGCCTCTGGTCGCGCCAGATACCGCCGCTCCCAAAATAGAAGCACCCTACGCATCATTTTAGCTGTCACATACTGTGACATTCTCGGCTTGCAACATATCCGACCAAACGGAAGATTGATTATAATTAACTTTTCTATGAATGGCAGAAAAATGCTTTTGGGAAAGCCAGATTTAAAGGTTTCGAAAACACAGAACTAATAGAGAGATATTAAAAGAGATATTTTAGGATATTACTTATTTAATCAGGATTATTAATAACTAAATTAATTATTAAATAATTATAAATGAAAATTAGATCGATAAGAATAAATCAAATAATAGAGAGGATCCCGTTTTTGAAACGCATTTTAATATAATATTAATATTCATATTTGCTTTGACTGAAAATAGGATTTTTCCTACTATTTAATTAGTTATTAATAATCCTGTCTCTTGTTCGTTTCAATAACGTTTAAGCGACGAAATTACTTCTCATTAATGAAAAATTACTTCTCATTAAATCTGATTCTGTTAGACCGAAATTGTCGGATAAATTTAAATAAGGAAAATGGGAATGAAATTGACTTGCCTGGTCGCGAGCGGCACCGGTTAAGCTCTGTACCCGTTGAAGCAAACTCTCCCGTGTCTTCGCCGGCGAGGATGGTGCGCTAGTGGTCCGCGAGCCAGGTCTCAGGTTGAGACTGAGATCGCCGCCGGCGATGGGCTGCGGCGGTCCCTGGGGTGGAACACCCGGGATCGGCGGGTGGGTTGGCAGCGATATCGGGCCCGGTTGGGATTGCAGGGGTCGATCCGGCACTGCTTGATACGGCTGAGACGAATCCTGCCGGCCCACGGTGGCCATCCCAGGATCCGCGTTGGGCTCATCATCGAGCTCCGAGCTTAGGTCCCCTGACGAGAACCTGGAAGACAAGCTATGGTGGTCGTCGTGACAGTGACAATCGGTCGGCAGGCCGCGCACTGACGCTGTCGTGTCTGACTGCGTTAAATGCACATCGATCACAGCCATTTGGTGCTGATGGAATGACGAGCATGGAGATGACGTCGGCAATGAGACTGGGCGGTCGCTAATCGGCCGGCGCTGCATGCGTGCTGCGGATCTTACGTCTATTTCGATTGCAAAGTAGACGGTCACGGCGTGTTCAGGTCAAAGCATATTTGTTTCTTTTTTCTTCATCCATTAGATGGTAATCTCTTTTTTGCTCAAATCATTTGTTGCGCGTCAAATAAAATGAGCAACCTATAATGCGAACAATGCCTATAAGACATCCGCACGAAACTACGTTGTTGCACATTTACATCATCGATTTACATTACGTATAATATGGTTATACGTAACAGCGAGATTTACGTCATAAATATAAAGCAAGAGATGAAAGACGCGATATCGCTGATGAAGGAGGAAAGGTAGCGTTATGTTAACGTTGCCGGGTAAAGCAACGTTAGCGCGATGGCTTGATATCATGGCGTGCGTCCAGGCTGCTGCATTTGGGGCAATGCTGGAAGCGGTATTTTTAACGAGCCACATGCACATGTCCATATTTGTCGAACACGAAGGACTTGAAATTATTAATAAGAACATTAAGGTACGATGTTTGAATTCTCTCTGACAATAACGTAGAGTGTACTTTCAAATAAGCGGAGGTTCCCAAATATCTCGATATGATCTCTTTTGATATTTAAAACTCTCCCTTTGCAATCGATTAACAGTATTTTAAGAATTAATTTTATAGGATTTTATAGAATCAATTTTATAGAATTTTTAGTATTTCAAGAATTAATTTTATAGGATTTAATAGGATCAATTTTATAGGATTTTTAAGAATTAATTTTATAGGATCGAAGTTTCGATACGTAAATATAAAAAAAGTAAAGAAAAATCTCTTTTAGCTTTCTATTATACCAACATTGCTTTATATACTTATAGATAAAAAAATATAAAGAGTATTTTATTAAAAGTATATTTTCATGTTTATGCAAATGTATAGGTTTAACGGAAATCCTCATAAATGATTTCGCAGATTAGTGTGGGAACCTTCGCATCGAGTTCAGCAATCCTAATTTTCAACCTTGAAAGTTTGACATGTTGTTGCTTGCTTAATGGCCGACTCAGGTAAGCACTCGTGTCCGGCTAATTAGACAGAGGAATCTATTTTCTCTTCACGGGCGCACTATGGGAGCCGCCGAGAGCGTGCAGAATATTGAGGTATTGCGCACATTGTTTTAAAGGCCGATCATTATCATGCACACGCCAGTGTGCGTAAATTGACTCCATATAAGAGGTACTCATAAAAACAGGATTTAGCTCAGTAATGTGATACATAAGTTCTCATCAAGTATATACCTTTCAACAACGTATTCACTCTCAGCAGCAGGTAGAGCGACGTTTCGGTCGAAATATTTCCATGCTGGATTTTAATTATAGGAATCTCTGGACCTCGTCCGATAACACACGACTAGTAATTACGTTAAAAGTGCATTAAAGCGCGCAATATAATGAGAATATAGAGCGCTATTCGCAATTATAAGTTATTGCTACATTTATACGCAGTAACGAAACAAAGAAATAAGATTAAGTCACGTAAATTGCTTATTTTCATACGTAAAAAACGTTTTCTGAGTATTGAGAGATGTGTATTGTCTCAAGTTCATTACCGATCCCATGCGTTCTAGAAATATTCCATAAAATCAATCCGAGATTGGCGGACGCAATACAATACAAAATACAAAAAATGCATCGCATTTCGTTTCATGCAGATTCAAGATTCGGACTGACATTTTTCAATATGCTTGCGTCAATAAAATTACGGAAAGTATACAGAAGATGACTTTAATCCTTTGGGCATATATAAACATTCACAGCACCGTAGATTAAATCCACAAAATTAATAAACGCAAGATGAAATGTCAGTCCTACAGATCTGATGTACCAACGACTCACCTCCGTTTCAGGTAGTTGACATTCGAGGTGAAGGACTGACGAAAACTGGAGAATGAAATGTTGCCGGGTGATGGAGCTGTACCACAGTACTTGGCGCAACCGCCGCGGCCGGTAATCTTGATGGTTACACCGAGCTCGTTGCTGCGACGAAACGGCTCCCGGTTTCGTTGATCGGACCGTTAGCGATCTAGAAGATAACCCGTTTCAATTCTTTGTCGTGGCGATGATCCTTGCACTGCTGACGATGCAACGTCGTCGCGACGCGCGAAATAGGTCGTTCGTTGTGGGTCGATAGATCCCAGATCGATGGGACGGGTTTTCTTTGCTTGATGCGTCGCGGGATAAATTTCAACGTAAGGTAATCCGAAAGGAAAGGATGAAATAAGAGGAGGTGAGGAAGGAGAAAATAAACAATCCAAGTTGAAATCTGCAAATAGAAGAAAGAAAAGGATTTAAATGCCGAGTAATTGAATCAATTATACTCGTAATTATTATAGACGCTACGTTTGTCTTAGCACCGAGGCATTACTGTGTCTCCTGAGTCTTATTCATTTATTCTTAAATAAGACTAATTGTATAAATAGTTGTATAAGCAGGCAGTTGTATTATTTGGATCTATTGAATAAATTAGAACGCGGTATTTTTTATTTTAAATAATGATATTATTTATACAATAATTATTATTAATTTTTTATACTTTTTATATTATTTTTTCTATATTTGAAAAAATAAACATATGTAGAATTTTTATTTAATTTCAAAATATATATTTTATAATTTGACAATAAAATTAAATTTTATTTCTATTCTATAATATTTTCGGATTATTCAAAGCGAATTAATTATTTTTTTAAATACGAAAGTTCGACACTTTTAATATAATTCAATTCTACAAGGTAATATACCTGAGTGCTGATATATATAATACCTGGGTTCTTTATAACGCTGAGAAATTTCTTTTTGATTCTAGTGGCTTAAACGAAATGACCTATTTCTGCAATAAACGATACACTTTTATTGTACAAGACATCTTTTCGTAATTGGGTTCTCTCGTGTATCGGAAATAATAAGCTAGGATTATAAAATCCACTCATGATTCTGTTACTTTTTTTATGTTATGCTTTGTGAATGTTTGTGCACATTATGATATTAACAGCTTATGATATCAAAAATATGACGAGATTTATTTTTTTATAAATGCTTAAGCTCAGACATTCGCGGAAATATGAAAGAAATCCAGTAAAATTTCACGTAAAATTCATAGGGTAGATAAAAAGCATATTTTAAACAGTTTAAAACATTAAACAGTTTAAAACATTATTAATTGATATTTTTAATATGTTTTAAACATGTATTTTATAACACTGTTTAAAGTATATTTGAAGCATTAAAAACATATTTAAGAAGAAACATAATGATTTATTCTTAAAAAAAAAAAAAAAAAAAACATTAGTCCTTGCCAAAAACCCCTGAAAATTCAATAGAATAAATACAACTCTTCCAATGGTATCTTACTTTAATTTAAAAAATCCCTTTTTAAATTCTCTAATAGTTTTATGATAAAAAATTGCTGCTGTTAAATCGAGATATAAAGAATATTTCGAAATCACGTATTATGCATTAAAAGGGAAGCGTTACGGATGTAACCGGTGTGACCAATGACTCATAATATAAGGCTCATGAAAATCGATAGTCGAGGCGCGATTTTGCTTGGAATTTCAGAAATGTTTCATGGCATCGCGCGAGTACACCAGCATTTATGTATTCTTGGAACGTACGCGCGGCACGGAAACACTACTTCTATGACTTGCTTCGTCGATCGTATCATCGGGTAGAGCGCACCTTTTCTTGAAGAGCTCTCGCGAGATAATTCTATGCTCATCGCGGGAAAAGAAACGTCGAGGAAGCAATGATACATTCCGACCGTTAATATTTGTTTCTTCCGTACTTCTCCGATAATAGGGAAAACATGCACGATTCGCAGAACTGGTGAAGTTCGCGTGTATCTCCGACATTCAACTTTCTTGAAGTGTTACTCGAGAAGAGAAATCTCCCGATTCGATTTGATAATCAAACAAACAACTTGCAGAATGTTCTCACTTATTTTATTCTTCAGTTTCATGTTTCACATCAAACTGAGAATAAAATGATTGTTTCTTTGTAACATCGAAACATTTCCTAGAGATTCTATTATGTAATATCAATTTTTTTTTAAATTTATTAAAACACTATAATATATTCATTTAAACATAATTTATTTAAACTCTATAATATAAATGCATTTTTAGCATTTTAAAATTAAACTTAACTAAATTGGGATTTAAAGAAAGAAGGGGTTAAGAAATATTTAAAAGTATACGATGAGTGATGAGTTTCCATCAAGATCTTGCGAAGAGAAAATTCTAAATTTATCATAGAGCTTGCAGGTGAATGAATATCTGGGTCGTAAGCATTTCATATTTCATTCCGAGGCCATTCTTTAAAGTCTAAATTCAAATCTTCGAATTTTATCATGCTATAGTGATTTTAAGCTGCTTCGCCTTCGCGTTTGTTGCTTCAGGAAATTCAAATCGTGCGAGCGTATAATTTAAGTAAAATTATAGAGAGGCAAATCCAATGAATCAATGAGAAATAAAATTATTCTACTTGTACCAATTTCCATGTGATAGTATTTCGGAAGTTTCGCGGGTTAGTGTAAGGCATTGCATAGAATTATCCTTGCGCCGCGAATAGCACCTACCTATTAGACCGCGAAGTGGTAAACGAGTTATAGAGCCATTACGTGTTGATGAGTTACGCCTGTGGATACAGCTCATCGAGCATTTTACACGCACAATACCGCTGCATGCATCGAATTCCTATAATGACTATGTTACATACAATCAAGAAAGTCACAACAATAGCCTGGTATGTGTGTTAATAGATGATAAGTTACCTGATACAAAGTTTTGTGCAGTTAAAAGTCTGAATTAGAATTGTGACGCTTTAATTATAAAATAAAGTATGGCTTCAGAAATTGAGGTATATTCAATTGTTATTCCAGTATATGTGGAAAAATAATCGATAAATGTATAAAAAAAAAAGTATGAGCATAAAGTATAACTTCCTCTGACAGATATCGAAAAAAGTAAGGAGGGAAATAAAATATTGATCCTATAATATTATTATCGATTGAAAGCAAGAATGATGATTATTCGTTCATATTTCCTAACGACGCTCGAGAAACATAAATAATAATCCTCTGTAATGTTTTGAAGGATCACTCATTGTTAGCAAGTAGTATGTAACTGTGTGTGTAATTTTACAGGTGTTAATACAGATATCCCAGCAACACCGGCTGTACAAATAATTATACTCCAATCCTATTCCGATACATTTAACCACCATTAAATGACAGATGGTGTAAGGATCGATACACCCGGCTTACCGAGGGTCTGTCCACTCAGACAAAATCGTTGAAATTCAACGGGAGACTTATCGAATGATAATCAAATAGTAAACTCTTGATTCAATTAAAATATTGAAGCATCTCTACGTTAAATTAGGAGAATATATTAATAGAAAATTTACCGTAGCGTAATAATATAAGCATTAATGGGGATAAATGCCGAATCATGAATTTACATTAATGATGATCGAATATCTCAAAATATTCGTGTTAAAGTTAGCGCAAATGTTGTTCTGTGCGTCACTGATATAAATTATATATTACGTATCTTCATAATTCCAAATGCAACGGATTACGGATATTGTACTTCCAGTGATGTTTGAACTCACGCAATTACGAAGATTAGATCTTATTTAAAAGATTACTGCGTTTTGCTTTTAATCTCCGCATCTGACTCACTTTGGAATCTTAATGAAATTCCTACATGTTATCTTTCGATATATCTATCATATATTTTGCTCGGATTGAGATAAAATAAAATGTTACAAGAAATTGCGTAACAGAAGAATCCGCTAATCCGTGTATAATATATTAAACTGAAGAATGCAATCACTACAGTTATCGAATTTTTATTACAGTACTTTTCAAGACTAATCAATAAATTCTTATAATCTAAAATAGATAACAATCAGGTTTTTTTTTAATTAACGCTTTTCGATCGCATTTATTATGTATCGTAATTGATGTAATACGATAATGTATTGACATTTATATGAAGATAGATTATTGTGCATACAAGATTAACGACCGAATTCATTAATATAAATTAAGTTCATCAACCTCACTTTGTTCAAAAGATGGAAAATTCTAGGCTTAGTAAAAGCACTTCTGGGTTTAATTTCTATATCGTGATTCATGATCCGAACCTACGATGTTAAAGATCGTTACTTTTAATCACTTTTATTGTATAGATAAATTCCCACTTATTATTACTAGAATATTCTAATAAGAAATAGATAAAATCCTCGTAAAAGAATATATTTAAGCATATAAAAAGAAAGAAGCGCTATCGCACAAAAGAATATTCTCGTTTATGCTGATCGTAAGATTCATCTCAGCGACCATGACTGAAACTTCGCAAGAAAATACCTCTTTATTAACGTCACGACAAAAAGAAGGATAGAAAGAGATTCACTAAAGAGAACTGGAATGTAAATTAAAATTCGTTCAACAAAAAAAAAATCAATGAAGATGCCTCTTTGTAAAACGCACGCATTCGCCATTACTTTTTCGTTTCCCGAAACTCGATGTGTCACCCCTGCTAAAATTATCGCACTCGTTTCTCGTTTTCTCCGACTATCCCGACTATTTTATGACTGAACATCGATTGTACCCCATCCAAACGAGACATCGGAAGACAACGGAATTTTGCGCAATGGACGTAAATCCGAAAACTGCACTACGCGTATCAAAATATATACACCTCCATTCAAGCAGATAATGATCTCATTTATCAACGACCGCCCACACGTCGCTTGTCCTCGCCGTCAATACGAGCGAGTATAAACTTACCTTGGTGATCTCTCGCTACGCAAAGACGTTAATTCGAGCTTTTGCTAGATAAAGCAATTTGCTGGAGTATTCGATTGAGCTGATTCGTTATTGTTATAAAGCCCGCGACGCTACTCCCACAACGTTATTCCAACAACGTTATCTGCGTGTCTCATCGACAGCCCTATCGAGCGACTATCGAGAGCGACGTTGAAACTACCCCGAGAGAGGAATCG